CACCTGGTGAATATAAATCTAATGTTCTCTTACGGCTCTTGTTTTGGTGAAATGTGTTTAATCTGTCTACCATTTGATGCTAAGCTTGTTGGGTTTTTAAAAGATTTTCCATTGAAAACAACAACGTTGTTGGGCGTACGGCTAAACAGGGATTTAATACTGTTATTAAAAATAAGGCATATTATCAGACCGTCCCTCCAGGAAGGCATCGTAGTGTTGCACATTAAATAGTCCCCCCTCAAATCTGGTGGATAGATCCAGGAAGCAGACCTGTTGAAGTATACTGGTAGCTTTATGTCTGAGATCTGCACAAGGACTTCTAAAACCCATCTGTGGATTTGTCTATAAGACCGAATCAATAAAGGATGGATATAATGGATAAGGAAATCTATAAATCTCCCTTTTTGTATTCCTATTATCCTATTTGACTGCTCTACTAGTAACTCCGCCATCCATCCAACTCTCAGCCCTGAGCTAAACATAGCGTGCTCGCCAACCTTCAATTACTTCTTAAGATTGTCCAGCTTTCAAATGCATTAGTGTTTAATATAACAAGCAGCTTCAGCTAAGAAATAGCTCTTTCGATAACTAAAAGCCAGGATTCAGAGGCATCTCGACCTGTAGACATACATTTTCCTTTAAAAACACATTTACCTCTTGCTAGGTGTTAACTCCATGTGTTTGTTATTAGCTTAAGTCTCGAAATTAGAGATACAAAAGGAACCAGAACACTTAATGCTCACAGTCATTATTTCAAATGAGGCTTATTTTCTATAATAGACACAACGCACCGTTTCCATCACAAAAAAAAAAAAAAGCCTGTCTTTAACGACACATGTCCAACCGCAGGTCCTTCTGCCTAGGATGTGGCATGATGTCACCCGCACTGAGCCAGGAAACAATTTAGTCCTCACGTCATTTTGATTCAAGAATAGCTCTTTTACAAAAAACACCTGTAATTTATTATGAAATGACAGATAATTGGTTCTAGTTTATGGCATGCTGTTTATTGTCAGGGGAAATAATTACACTCAGGGCGTCCATTTCCTCTGATGGGAACAGTCCAGCGCTACTGAGTTGGTCCTGTCTTTACTTCTGATGATTGTTAGCTTGTTTTTTACTGCAATAGTGTCATTGTCTTACAGCCATTTTCAAAAATGGTGTCACAATTAAATATTGCAATAAATATCCCAACGTTTGTATATTTAAAGAGGCCCTATTATATTTTGTATGACATATGGATGGCGCTACAACACATTGTGCGTGAGAGGCTAAGGGGCGGGACATCTCTAAGCTGTTGACCAATCACAACAGAGCCGGCCAGCCAACCAATCAGAACAGACTGGACTCTGGTTCCAGACAGAGGGTGAAAAGAGGTGCTGCAGCACAGGCAGTATAAGAAAAATAAAGAGCTTTTTGAACATTAAAGCATGGAGACATGTAGAGACACTACATACTGATATACACCTGAACATCAGCAGGAGAGGACTCTTTAAAGTAGAGACACTACATACTGATATACACCTGGACATCAGCAGTAGAGGACTCTTTAAAGTAGAGACACTACATACTGATATACACCTGAACATCAGCAGGAGAGGACTCTTTAAAGTAGAGACACTACATACTGATATACACCTGAACATCAGCAGGAGAGGACTCTTTAAAGTAGAGACACTACATACTGATATACACCTGAACATCAGCAGGAGAGGACTCTTTAAAGTAGAGACACTACATACTGATATACACCTGAACATCAGCAGGAGAGGACTCTTTAAAGTAGAGACACTACATACTGATATACACCTGAACATCAGCAGGAGAGGACTCTTTAAAGTAGAGACACTACATACTGATATACACCCGAACATAAGCAGGAGAGGACTCTTTAAAGTAGAGACACTACATACTAATATACACCTGAACATCAGCAGGAGAGGACTCTTTAAAGTAGAGACACTACATACTGATATACACCTGAACATCAGCAGGAGAGGACTCTTTAAAGTAGACACACTACATACTGATATGAATAATAGGGCCCTTTTTTAATAATGTGACCTAAAAGAAAGGTTGAAAATACTTCTCACAGTAGACCCTGCTCGCTGTATCACTCCTGCCAGAAATCAACAGCTGCTTAAATCCCACTGTTGCACATCCATCACTGAAAGCCTCGCTAGCTAACACAATGAGATAGCTGTACTGTAACTATAGTCCCGATAACCTTGCTGAAATGCCATCTGTTTTCAAATTGCTTAAGAGAAAGACATTGCATCATGGGAACTCTCCGCTTGATATCCTGCTGACCCTATTTTGGCTATTTGATAGTTGGCAGAATACTTCAGACAAGGCTCAGAAAAAGAGACACAAATGACATATTTGGTTTAAAGGAGGCACGGTACCAACGCTGTGGTGACATAGTGACAATGTTCGGAGGCCTGATTGCATGTTCGGACTGCCAGCAGGGTTTGTTAGTTTGTTAGACTGAAATGATATAGGCATAGACAGCGCTATTATACAGAATGCAAGTGTAGGTGGAGTTTCCTTCTCTTCTCTCTAAAATTCTCCCTGTTGACACGTCAGTGAGTTCTGGGAAAGGTCTCTTCTAACATTTTAATCCTGCTAGTAATCACCATATTTCTAAATATCATTTGATAGTTTTGATGTTACTAAGGGAATACAGTGAATTGACCCTAAAAGCAACTCAGTGGTTTACACTCGCACCACAAGAGCTACATGTAAACCTAATACACAGCCTGTCAGAAGTGCTGTTCACGCAGTCAGGAGTAAGTGAAAGGCTCCTTTCAGGTGGCGGGACAGTGGGGGTCTGCACCGCCCAATTTTTGTAACTTTCCGAGCCGACTAACAGCCACGTCCGCTGCTCGCAGACTGGCAAGATGGTGAGATCTGGGCAGAGGGCTTTCTTTCTCTCTAATGCCCCCTTTTTCCTGCTGAATCAGGCCTTTCGCGTCCGTGCTATACAGTTGTGGTTTTTCAAGAGGAGTTGGCGAAGCTGTATCAGAATCTGAAGGAAGTGTGAACCAACACTAACTTGCACAGGTGGCATTCAACACAAATCTGGACATTTGAAATCATTTATAGTCATTTTGGTGCCTTGCTTACCATTAGACTCCAAGAAAGTGCAGATAATTGGTGAACTAGAGAGTTTATTTTATTTTTATTTATTCATTTATTTAACAGGGACAGTGCTTGTGATTAATGAACATTTCTGTAAACGTGCCAGAGTTAGCCAAGAGGCTATTTTTCATCTGTAGTCCCTGGACAGATTTTAAAAGTCAACCTAAAACACATTTTGTGCTTTAATGCACCGATGTTTTCCTGCACAAACTGTTTTATTGAGTACTCACAAGTCCTTTTTTTAAAGCATCAAAATGCCTTTGGTAGAGTAGAAGTAGTCGCTTGTTTTTACATCAAGAAATTGCAAAAGCTTGATCACAGTTTTGCGTACTGGAGAAGTTGCTTGCTGAACCATCTGTGCATGATATTCCTTTTGGAATTATAAGACTGGAACATTTTACATTAAATGTGACCTCTTTTTCTCTACAACAAAATGAATCATTCTGAATTTCTCTTGTTTCTGCTATTTTACTATTGCATCAACGTGGCAAGTTATAAAAGTCTTTATTTTAGTTAAGGCAGTGCTTCATATACTTAAAACTGTTCTTTGTACTGTATGGCACCTGGTTATCTTAAGGAATATAGCAGAGCTGCAGGAACACATTTAAGCACAATCGTATTAAAATAATTGATTATAATAAAGTGTGCATGGTCATATCAAATCTGCTATTACATTACATTACATGTCATTGTTAGACGCTTCTATCCAAAGCGACTTACATACATTCAGTACAGTGGACAATCCCCAGGAGCAATTTGGGGTGAAGTGTCTCAGGGACACAACGACATGCTGAGCGCAGTGAGACTCGAACTTGCTATCCCCTGATTCAAAGTTCAGCACACTACCCACTGAGCCACAGCCTCCCTTATACCTCGAATACCGTTCATTAGAGATTAAGTGGGTTTACTGTATAAATCCCAACAATCTGCATCACTCTTACCTCCTGATATAATCCCCCCATGCAGGTGAACTAACACAGCTTTCATAAGCAAACATTGTGACCCTTGTAAAGTTAATGTGGACACTCTGGGTGTGTGCGTGTGTTTGTGTGTGTGTGTGGACCAGAGGACAAAACAAACCTGTGGGGACTGAAGGCAGCTGTTGTGCCCTTTAGCCTGCCTCCCCCAGCAACATCCACCATTTAAACTACATTTCAAGACTAAATGTATAAACCCACAGCACTTATGACACTGGTATTAAACACACACACATGTACCCACTTAAGTTGTTGTTTGCAACTCTTTACAAGACGCCACGTGACTGTATAAATAGATGTGTTTAACTTAAATGATTTGAGGGTAATTTGGAGTAATTTAGTATCAGGGACATCATGGCAACAAGTCAATAAAACCGTGACATATGATACATAGTGTTTCTACAGCTGTGTATCAACTTTCAATTATCTCGCTTTCTCAGGCACGTAATTGCGTGTTTGCGATTCAAATCAAATAGAAAACCTTGTATTCTGATTCATAGGAAATCATCCAAAAAGAATTGCATGGTTGCTCAAATTCAACAAGTGGAAGTCTCCAAGTCTCGCCTCCAGTCGGTTGGTTATTTATCTCTGACATTTTACAGCCTGCCATGTAACGCATAAATCGGAGCTGCGCGCAGCCAAAGTTAAACAAATAAAATCAGGATTGTGAGAAACCGCAGACGGTTCATTATCTTGTAATTTACTCACCGACAGCGTTTGACAGATTCACGCACAGGGAGCCACAGGCATGCAACATGCGCCTCTTCGAGCCCAGACAGTAACTTCATGCGACTTTCCAACATTATATAATCCTACATATGCACAACAAAAACAACTCCGATTAAAGTAAAAGTATGTGTGTGTTTGCGCAGAGTGTCTTACCTTTAGGAATAGCCGCAGGAGGTTGAGGAGTATCAGTAGAGAAGACACAAAGTGCAAACTTCACCCAGCATGAAAACACAAAACAAAACTTGAGGTACTCCATGTCTGTTATTGTGCGTGTGTTTCCCGGACAGAGTGCGCGTGACCGTCCGGAAAGCCCTGCAGGCTCGATATGTGCGCTCTCGCGGTATTCAAAATTAATAATGAAATAAAACTCTCCAGTGGATGTGAAGTTCAGGCTGAGCTCCGGGAGTTTGAGTTCTGCGAGGCGTGGTTCCTTTATGGTGAGGCTGCTCCCGGTGAGAGATAACGGTGTTCACCCTGACACAGGCAAGTCCTGCGCAAAGTGTGACTAAGCACAGCTGTATATAAATCCCCCACCTCCCCACCCCCCTCCACCCCCTTTACTGTTTCACAGCCCTCCCCCAGGCTGCCCTCCCCCTGACCAACAGTACTCCCCTTTACATGCTCATAAGAGACTTTTCATTCAAACTCATCAGGGGAAAAGGGTGGTAAAACTACTAAATATGCAGTTTTCAATCATTTCAAATGCGATATTTTCACACAAGTTATTTTGATATTTGTTTTGTAGTGTTTTTTTCTTTTCAGTATATGGATATTTAGCATTACATGATTCGTATGAGTAGTAAATCATGCATTCAGATAATTTAAAGTAGAAATACCACTTCAGTTTCAAATCAAATTACAAAATGTAAGGTATCAGAAGCAGCATGTCTCTTTAATTAAAAAAAAACCGTAATATTATATAGATTATTGAGCATTTTTAGTTGTAAGCTCCTTTTAGCGTGTCATAAATCACATTTCATTTAATTCATACATTCATATTCATATTTTTCTCAATTACAACTCACATTTTCGTTCAATTAAAGCCCTATTCTGCTCATTTTCACGTTGATATCAGTGTGTAGTGTCTCTACTTTAAAGAGTCCTCTCCTGCTGATGTTCAGGTGTATATCAGTATGTAGTGTCTCTACTTTAAAGAGTCCTCTCCTGCTGATGTTCAGGTGTATATCAGTATGTAGTGTCTCTACTTTAAAGAGTCCTCTCCTGCTGATGTTCAGGTGTATATCAGTATGTAGTGTCTCTACTTTAAAGAGTCCTCTCCTGCTGATGTTCAGGTGTATATCAGTATGTAGTGTCTCTACTTTAAAGAGTCCTCTCCTGCTGATGTTCAGGTGTATATCAGTATGTAGTGTCTCTACTTTAAAGAGTCCTCTCCTACTGATGTTCAGGTGTATATTAGTATGTAGTGTCTCTACTTTAAAGAGTCCTCTCCTGCTGATGTTCAGGTGTATATCAGTATGTAGTGTCTCTACTTTAAAGAGTCCTCTCCTGCTGATGTTCAGGTGTATATCAGTATGTAGTGTCTCTACTTTAAAGAGTCCTCTCCTGTTGATGTTCAGGTGTATATCAGTATGTAGTGTCTCTACTTTAAAGAGTCCTCTCCTGCTGATGTTCAGGTGTATATCAGTATGTAGTGTCTCTACTTTAAAGAGTCCTCTCCTGCTGATGTTCAGGTGTATATCAGTATGTAGTGTCTCTACTTTAAAGAGTCCTCTCCTGCTGATGTTCAGATGTATATCAGTATGTAGTGTCTCTACTTTAAAGAGTCCTCTCCTGCTGATGTTCAGGTGTATATCAGTATGTAGTGTCTCTACTTTAAAGAGTCCTCTCCTGCTGATGTTCAGGTGTATATCAGTATGTAGTGTCTCTACTTTAAAGAGTCCTCTCCTGCTGATGTTCAGATGTATATCAGTATGTAGTGTCTCTACTTTAAAGAGTCCTCTCCTGCTGATGTTCAGGTGTATATCAGTATGTAGTGTCTCTACTTTAAAGAGTCCTCTCCTGCTGATGTTCAGGTGTATATCAGTATGTAGTGTCTCTACTTTAAAGAGTCCTCTCCTGTTGATGTGCAGGTGTATATCAGTATGTAGTGTCTCTACTTTAAAGAGTCCTCTCCTGCTGATGTTCAGGTGTATATCAGTATGTAGTGTCTCTACTTTAAAGAGTCCTCTCCTGCTGATGTTCAGGTGTATATCAGTATGTAGTGTCTCTACTTTAAAGAGTCCTCTCTTGCTGATGTTCAGGTGTATATCAGTATGTAGTGTCTCTACTTTAAAGAGTCCTCTCCTGCTGATGTTCAGGTGTATATCAGTATGTAGTGTCTCTACTTTAAAGAGTCCTCTCCTGCTGATGTTCAGATGTATATCAGTATGTAGTATCTCTACTTTAAAGAGTCCTCTCCTGCTGATGTTCAGGTGTATATCAGTATGTAGTGTCTCTACTTTAAAGAGTCCTCTCCTGCTGATGTTCAGGTGTATATCAGTATGTAGTGTCTATACTTTAAAGAGTCCTCTCCTGCTGATGTTCAGGTGTATATCAGTATGTAGTGTCTCTACTTTAAAGAGTCCTCTCCTGCTGATGTTCAGGTGTATATCAGTATGTAGTGTCTCTACTTTAAAGAGTCCTCTCCTGCTGATGTTCAGATGTATATCAGTATGTAGTGTCTCTACTTTAAAGAGTCCTCTCCTGCTGATGTTCAGGTGTATATCAGTATGTAGTGTCTCTACTTTAAAGAGTCCTCTCCTGCTGATGTTCAGATGTATATCAGTATGTAGTGTCTCTACTTTAAAGAGTCCTCTCCTGCTGATGTTCAGATGTATATCAGTATGTAGTGTCTCTACTTTAAAGAGTCCTCTCCTGCTGATGTTCAGATGTATATCAGTATGTAGTGTCTCTACTTTAAAGAGTCCTCTCCTGCTGATATTCAGGTGTATATCAGTATGTAGTGTCTCTACTTTAAAGAGTCCTCTCCTGCTGATGTTCAGGTGTATATCAGTATGTAGTGTCTCTACTTTAAAGAGTCCTCTCCTGCTGATATTCAGGTGTATATCAGTATGTAGTGTCTCTACTTTAAAGAGTCCTCTCCTGCTGATGTTCAGGTGTATATCAGTATGTAGTGTCTCTACTTTAAAGAGTCCTCTCCTGCTGATGTTCAGGTGTATATCAGTATGTAGTGTCTCTACTTTAAAGAGTCCTCTCCTGCTGATGTTCAGGTATATATCAGTATGTAGTGTCTCTACTTTAAAGAGTCCTCTCCTGCTGATGTTCAGGTGTATATCAGTATGTAGTGTCTCTACTTTAAAGAGTCCTCTCCTGCTGATATTCAGGTGTATATCAGTATGTAGTGTCTCTACTTTAAAGAGTCCTCTCCTGCTGATGTTCAGGTGTATATCAGTATGTAGTGTCTCTACTTTAAAGAGTCCTCTCCTGCTGATGTTCAGGTGTATATCAGTATGTAGTGTCTCTACTTTAAAGAGTCCTCTCCTGCTGATGTTCAGGTGTATATCAGTATGTAGTGTCTCTACTTTAAAGAGTCCTCTCCTGCTGATGTTCAGGTGTATATCAGTATGTAGTGTCTACACTGTGACATGTCTCCATGCTTCAATGTTCAAAAAGCTCTTTATGTTTTCTCTAAATAAATGACATACACACTACCGGAAAGGGAAAACCCCAAAAAGCAGAATAGGGCCTCTTTAAGTTTCTGCCAGTGGAATTACACATTGCTTTCCACACAGCACAAAAGAAAAACCATCCCTCTTCTAACCAACGACAGAATATTGAAGTGGCACCTGATGCTGCAGATGTTGGTCCTGCTTCCTTACAGTGGTGAAAACACAGAGAGAGAAGTGAAGAGGAAAACAGAAAGCCAACATTTCATTTAGCTTCCATCAATGGTTGCATTGCATGTGTCAGTATATCCAGCATTGAAACCGATGCTTTGTCTCATGTGTGTCTCTGAGTATATCCAGCATTGAAACCGATGCTTTGTCTCATGTGTGTCTCTGAGTATATCCAGCATTGAAACCGATGCTTTGTCTCATGTGTGTCTCTCAGTATATCCAGCATTGAAACCGATGCTTTGTCTCATGTGTGTCTCTCGGTATATCCAGCATTGAAACCGATGCTTTGTCTCATGTGTGTCTCTCAGTATATCCAGCATTGAAACCGATGCTTTGTCTCATGTGTGTCTCTCGGTATAGCCAGCATTGAAACCGATGCTTTGTCTCATGTGTGTCTCTCAGTATATCCAGCATTGAAACCGATGCTTTGTCTCATGTGTGTCTCTCAGTATATCCAGCATTGAAACCGATGCTTTGTCTCATGTGTGTCTCTCAGTATATCCAGCATTGAAACCGATGCTTTGTCTCATGTGTGTCTCTCAGTATAGCCAGCATTGAAACCGATGCTTTGTCTCATGTGTGTCTCTCAGTATATCCAGCATTGAAACCGATGCTTTGTCTCATGTGTGTCTCTCAGTATATCCAGCATTGAAACCAATGCTTTGTCTCATGTGTGTCTCTCAGTATATCCAGCATTGAAACCAATGCTTTGTCTCATGTGTGTCTCTCAGTATAGCCAGCATTGAAACCAATGCTTTGTCTCATGTGTGTCTCTCAGTATATCCAGCATTGAAACCAATGCTTTGTCTCATGTGTGTCTCTCAGTATATCCAGCATTGAAACCAATGCTTTGTCTCATGTGTGTCTCTCAGTATATCCAGCATTGAAACCAATGCTTTGTCTCATGTGTGTCTCTCAGTATATCCAGCATTGAAACCAATGCTTTGTCTCATGTGTGTCTCTCAGTATATCCAGCATTGAAACCAATGCTTTGTCTGTGTGTCTCCCATTCCTTATTAGGCGTAACAGACATGCCCCCCCGGCGCAAAACCATTCCCGTCCGACTGCCAGTGAGCAGATTGTTTTACTTAATGACATCACCGGTTTCATGCAGAAAGAGCAGAAGCCAGAGTTTATGAGATGAATTTCTTATTTTCCAGAGGCCCTGATAAACCTCCAAAATGTAGACCCAGCGCCAGAAAACGCAGCATAAAGACCTTGACTTGTGCTTACAGTGATTCAGCATTTAACTGACTCTAAAGTTAGTGGGTCATGAGAAAATGACCTCTTTAAGTCTTGGGCATCGTGTCTGTGAAGCTCGGACAAACACAGAATGAGCCAAAGTATCAATCCTTTTGCTTGCACTCAAAATAAACCTTAAAGAAAGTGTAATTTCACGACTAGGTGACACACATCTAACATTTCATTTTTGCCCCGTGGGTTAGCGGGAACTCTCGACAGCTGGAAAATATAAGTGTTAGTGGCTGCATGTTGGCAGCGCGTGGTAAGAATTAAGCTCACTGGCTGAACACCCACCAAACATGTGGAAATGTCCAGAGTTTATAGGAACAGTTTAATATCCCATCAGATGAGAAGCCTCTATAAATATGAGGACATAATGTCATCTTGTATCTTTCCAAGTC